CCAGGCTTGCCTTCAGTCCCTGGTGATTTCTACAAGTCAAGTATGGTGAGCCCATACCTGTATTTAGGAACTTAGGGCTCCCCGTTATTTTAAAACCCAAATATCTCATCCTGAAATCCAGGGATTCCCCCAGGCCCTGCCCCTCATTTGTGACCTTTGTAGTAGTTCTGTGGCTACCCTTTTCCATAGTGGTTCCCAGCCACACACCACACACAATGTGGTGCTTGGTCCCTCTGATGAAGAGACCTCTCCACCCTCTCTGCTCACAGCCTGCCATATAGTCGTTTCTTAAGGCCCAGGCTAAAGCAGGTACCTCTTCTGGGAAGCCCTCCTATTCCTGCTACTATAATATATTTTGATAATATTTCTAGCTGGTTCTCTAAAGAACCTCCAGGTTGAAAACCAGAGTATCTCCATCTTTGAGTCTCAAAGCTCATCATAAAAGAATGGCCAGGAAAAGGTCAATGGTCAATGGCTGGAGAACATATGCATGATGGGTGAGTAACTGGCAGATAGGTTGATATAGATGCTGGATGGATGGATGAATGGATAAATAAATGAATGGATGGATGGATTGGTGGATGGGTGGATAGGATGAGTGGGTGGATGGATGGATGAATGGATGGATGGATGGCGGGCGGATGGACGGATAAGTACATGTACAGACTTGTGGATACAGAGTGATAGATGCCTGGGTGGCAGATGGGCACAGTTGTAAAAGAATGAATGGGTAGATGGGTGAATGGGAGGATTCAGGGAGCAGATAAGAGGGTGAACTGTGGGATCTGTGGATGGATGGTATATTCCCAAATGGATGAGTGAGTGGATGCATCGGTGGCTGATGAATGAGTACATTTGTGGGAGATTCATGGTTATAAGTGTGGGAGACTGTAAACACACCAAGAGTGTTTAAAACTGTCTGTGTATGGCCTGAGTGTGTGTTTGTCTTCGACATCGCTGCTATGCTTTTGGGGCAATGCACTTACATCTTAGATTTCTTCTTTTCTTAAAATCATTTTAGTACAGTTGTGACCATTTGGGAGTTCCATTTAGTGGGTCTAAAGGTCGAAATCCTGGTTTTCTTGGCTCCATACGAGTTAGCCTCACACTGCTAAAGATATTCTTCGGTGTCCACATCTCAGGATGAAAGGCAAAAATGAGACGGCATCTTCTGACACTTCCCTTTCCAGGAAAATCTGACTCTACTTTCTTTCCTGTTGACCCTCACAGTAAAGACAGTGGAGGCCCCAGGGAGGACAATGCCACCAGCCATTGCTAAGAGGGACAGCCAAGTGCAGAAACACAGAGCCTTGACTCTCTTCTTGTCTTGGTCTTCAGATACCTCCCTCACAGAACCCCCTGTGTCAGTCCAGCCCTGGCCATTAGTCCCATGACTCTGTCCACAGCAGAACTATCATCATGTTCTAGCCCTGTACACAAGTCCAATTCCTGGGAAGATGACTTCAAGACAGTGTTCACACAATCAGAATGGAAATACACGCAGAGGAACTGTAGCCTAACAGGAGGAAGTCCCAGCATAGTTGTCATTTCCAGTGGGCACTCACACCCTGCAAAGGAAGACCACAACAGAGCAAATGCATCCCCTTGCTGGAGGGGAGCAGGGTGCACCGGCACCTTATGGGTGGTGCTGACACCTTTATACACATAGCCATTCAGTCCACAATGACCCTGGGAGGAGGGGGTGATACCCTATTTCACATGTCATAGGAAGATGTGAGACTAACCCCATATTAGCAACAACTGCATGACAGAGTGGATTCCAACCCTCAGAAGAGAGTTTGTTCCATGGGGACCCTTCATATCTGCTAGCAAGGAGATTGCCCTGCGCCCCTGCATTTAACACCTAATTCCAGGCTGCCCTGTGGAGAAGTGGTGCCTCCCCTTTAACTTAAGGTGGACTGGGTTTTCAGTGTTGTAGCTCTGTAGCAGAGTTTGAAGTCAGGGATTGTGTGGCCTCCAGAAGTTCCTTCATTCATTGTACAGGATTGTTTTGGCTATCCAAGTTTTTGCTTTTCCATATGAAGTTGAGTATTGTTCTTTCGAAGTCTGTGAAGAATTTTGCTGGGATTTTGATGGGAATTTCATTGAATCTGTAGATTACTTTGGATAAGATTGCCATTTTTACTATGTTTATTCTACCTACCCAAGAGAATGGGAGATCTTTCCATTTTCTGGTATCCTCTTCAATTTCTTTCTTCAAAGATTTAAAATTCTTGTCATGCAGGTCTTCTACTTGTTTGGTTAGAGTTACTCCATGATATTTTATGTTATTTGTGGCTGTTGTGGAAGGTAATGTTTCTCTGGTATTGGCATAAAAATAGACAGGAGGACCAATGGAACCAAATCAAAGACCCGGATATCAATCCACACACCTATGAACAGCTGATTTTCAACAAAAAGAAAAAAAATATAAAATGGAAGAAAGAAAATATATTCAACAAATGTTTCTAGCATAACTGGATATCAACATTTAGAAGAATGAAAATAGATCCATATCTATCGCCATGCACAAAACTCAAGTCCAAATGGATCAAAGATCTCAACATAAAACCAACCACACTGAACTTCATAAAAGAGAAAGTGGGAAGTACACCTGAATGCATTGGCACAGGAGACCACTTCTTAAATATAACCCCAGTAGCACAGACACTGAGAGAAAGAATTAATAAATGGGACCTCCTGAAACTAAGAAGCTTCTGTAAAGCAAAGGACATGGTCAACATGACAAAACGGCAGCCTACAGAATGGGAAAAGATCTTCACTAACCCTACATCAGACAGAGGGCTGATCTCTAAAATACACAAAAGAACTCAAGAAATTGGTCATCAAAAGAACAAATAATCCAATAAAAAATGGGGCACAGACCTAAAAAGAGAACTTTCAACAGAGGAATCTAAATGACTGAAAGACACTTAAGGAAATGCTCAACATCCTTAGTCATCAGAGACATGCAAATCAGAACAACTCTGTGATTTCATCTTACACCTGTAAGAATGGCCAAGATCAAAAATACTGATGACAACTTATGCTGGAGAGGATGTAGGATAAAGGGAACACTCCTGCATTGCTGGTGGGAGTGCAAGCTGGTACAGCCCCTTTGGATATCAGTATGACGATTTCTCAGAAAATTAGGAAACAACCTCCCTAAAGACCAAGCAATACCACTTTTGGGTATACATCCAAAGGATGCGCAACCCTGCCACAAGGACATGTGCTCAACTATGTTCATAGCAGCATTGTTTGTCATAGCCAGAACTTGGAAACAACCTAAATGTCCCTTGACTGAAGAATGGATAAGGGAAATGTGGTACATGTGGAGTAATATACAGCAGAAAAAATAATGACATCTTAAAATTTGCAGGCAAATAGATGGATTTAGAAAACATCATACTGAGTGATGGAACCCAGACTCAGAAAGACAAACATCATATGTATTTACTCATAAGTGGCTTTTAGACATAAAGCAAAGAAAACCAGCCTATAATTCACAGTCCCAGAGAACCTAGACAACAATGAGGACTCTAAGAGAGGCATACATGGATCTAATCTACATGGGAAGTAGAAAAAGACAAGATCTTCTGAATAAATTGGGAGCATGGGGACCATGGGGAGGGTAGAAGGGGATGGGAGAGGAAGGATGGGGACTGGAGAAAAAATATATAACTCAACAAAAACATTAAAAACAAATAAAAAATTTAAAAGGTGGACTGGGTTGCTAGCCATGATCTCTGTGCTTTCCCTGCTGGAGCAACCCTGTTACTCACTGGCTCTCCATCAGGACGGAGAAGCCTCCTGCACAGAAGCAGAGAACACTGGCCGGCACTGGCTCAAGAGATGCTTTACTTCCTCTTCCACTCCTGCTTTGAAATGCTGTAACAAACAATTTGGGGCTTTTTAAAGCTTTTATCACATCTATGTCTAAAAGATTCCATTCTTTTTTCCCCTGAAACTGAGTGATTGTCCTCACAATGACATTGTTTAGCTGACACTATGGCAGGGTTGAAATCTTCTGTCACATCAGCCACAACAAAACAAACAGAAACATTCGGGAAGCTCAGGGAGTAGCTGGAAGCTCAGGGAGTAGCTGTCATCAAATGTCTCTAACTGAGGTCAATGCTGTCTTCTATCTCTTCCTACACTAGTTTTTGAGACTGGCTCTCTCACTAAACCCGGAGCACACCAATTTGGCTAGACTGATTGACCAACAAGCCCTCAGGACCCCTGTTCCTACCTCTCAAATGCTAGGAGTACAGCGCATACCACCACACTTAGGTTTTAATGTCTGTGCTGGGGATTTGAACTTTGGCCCTCATCCTTGTGCAACAAACACCTTACCCACTGAACCATCTCACCAACCTATACAATCTTCCTTGACAGCAAATATTTAGTTCTGCTCAAGCCCCAAAATGATGCGGGAGAGAAGGCTCCTGAGTACGCAAGCGTACTTGTGTGTGGAACAGTCTGTGCACATATGTGAGGGTGTGTGGAAGTCAATGGTCAATCTTGGACCTCGTTCTTCAGGTCTTGTCCATGTTGCTATTTGTTGTTGGTGTCGTTGCTTTCTTTTTTGAGGCAAGGTCTTTCATTGGCTTGGAGCTTGCCAATTAGGCTAGTGTGGGTGACCAGTAAGCCCCAGCGATCCCTCTTCAGCTCCAGAGCTGGGGTTACAAGTGGCCATGGTACCAGGGTTCTCCATTCTCTCTGTTAACATAAAGTACTATACCTGGCTTTTTTAGGAGGGTTCCAGGGATCAAACTTGGGTCCTTAGGCTTGTGTGTCACACTTTTTACCCTCTGAGCCACCTCCATGCTTCAAGCTTTTCTTTTCTTTACCAACTTATATTGATTGTCTATAATGCAGGCTTCATTGTGCCTTTTACAAACACTGGTGTTCTCAGGAATTCACATGGGAGTTAGATATTCACGTTGTAGAAGTGTTTCTCCAGAATTGAAGATTCATATCTGTTTTCCATCCTACAGATCCCAGCAGCCACCACGCCAGCTGGTTCTGAGAGTATGACATCACCAACCGTGTACAGGTCCCAGCAGCCACCACACCAGCTGGTCCTGAGAGTATGACATCACCAACCGTGTACAGGTCCCAGCAGCCACCACGCCAGTTGGTCCTGATAGTCCAACATCACCAACAGTGTGCAGGTCCCAGCAGCCACCATACAACCTGGACCTGAGACTGTGACATCACCAACAGTGGATGTTCAGGTTATGCCTTCCTATATGACTGGTTTATCTTACTCAGTATAGCACCCTCAACACTGATCCATGTTGTAGTCTGGGACACTATTCTCTTCCTGACCATGACTCTGTAATATTTCATTGCATTTATGTCCAAAATCTACTCCTCTATTATTTGGCAAGTATATTAAGGTCTATCTACAGGATGGAAATTAGAGAAAAAAAGCAAGATAAATCTCAGAGCAAACAAAGAAACAAGCAGGAAAATTTAGGGATTTTTGCGTTAGATAACCAAGAGAATGTTCCAGTAAACCAATATGTCTCACCTGGAGTTTTGTTTGCTTGTGAGAAAATGGACAAATCTCTGGGAAATGTAACTCAAAGCATAAAACACAAAAATGCATAAATTATAAGGGTTCTGTGTGTAGGTTTGGTGTTGTGTAATATGGTTTTGAATTCTCAATGAAATGGAGCATTTCCCTGGAAAATCAAAATTCTAAAAACCCTAGACAAACTCCATGCTTAAAAACAATGCATAGAAAATGCAAATGTAATTTGAACACCTCCTTGCTGTTCCTGGCTTAGCCAGCTTCAAATAACATATCTCTAGAGCCAGACAAACCACTCCAGACCATTGCAGTGGGTCCCACAGTTGGCTGATAACAGCACTTAGCCCTGAATCAAAACCTTAGCTGTGGGATATTTAAGAAACCACAGGCCAGTCTCACTTGTTCACAGGGCATGCCAAAAGTTCCTCCTTTCATTGGGCTGTTGTAACATGAGGGCCGGCTAGTTGGGGTTTATGTCCTGCCTGGTTTCCACAGCCGGTAAGCCCCCAAAGAAAATCACACAGAGAGTCTACATTAGGTTATAAACTGATTGGCCCATTAGCTCAGGCTTCATATTAGCTCTTATAACTTATATTAACCCATTATTTTTATCTATGTTAGCCACATGGCTCGGTACCTTTTTCAGCAGGGCAGGTCACATCTTGCTTCTTCCATGTTCTGGGCAGGACTGGAGAGGAATGGGCTTCCTCCTTTCCAGCATTCTCTGTTCTCATTGCCCCCACTTTTACTTCCTGTCTGATTGTCCCACCTATATTTCCTGCCTGGCCAATCAGCGTTTATTTAAAACATGATTGACAGAATACAGACAATGTCCCACACCAGGCTGTGGCAGTATGGAGCCCTTGAGCTTTGTCCCCAGACCCAGTCTGGAACACAGCCATGAGGAAGTAGATACTCTGCATACAAGTCCACAGGCAGAGCTAGCACACCAGCAACTAGCAGGGACAGGTACCTGAGGACAGTGGCAGAGAGTCCTGACAAGTTGGGGGTGGGGTCATAAGCAATACCCCAGGCCAGAGAGTAGAAGGTAGACAGAAGCAGGCCTGCCTCGTGCTAGCGAGAAGGGACCATGAAGGAGGGGAGAGATGTTGAGTGGTGTGGATGCCGTAAAACTGCCGTGACTCTTCGCAAGGGATCTCACAGCACAGGCAACTGATAGTCACAAGTCCAGCCCCAAGGTGTGAGCCGACAGTGCTTACCCATCATACGAGATAAATCATTCCGGTCATCTTCAGCATGAGGTACACTTAGTGCTCGTGAGAGAATCGCTGGTAAGCAGGGGACTTGAGACTCCCTAGCTGGCAGCTGGCACCTGCTTGTCCAGGAGTTCTCAGTTTACTCTGGAGTTGAAAAGTCACCCTCTGCTACATGGCTGGGTCCACCAGCCAGAAAAGGGGAAAATCTTGAGCCCGGGATATACAGTAAGTAAAACTCTGTGTGTCCTGAACCAATAGGACAGGGAATCTGAGAGGGAGCTATGCTCGACACTGGGAAAGTCGTACTTCCCTGTAGAACCCAGATGAGGAGGAATCCAAGGGTGAAGGGGGATGCAGTTAGGAAAATAAAAACCTTTTGTGCCAGGTAGGGTTTGGAACATTTTTGCCTTTTCTAGGCTGATGCCTGGAGAAGGTTTTAAAATGAACTGTGCCACCCTCTCTACTGCATCATCAACACTCGTTCTAACATGAGGAGCCCCGTCTCTCACATGGTCACCTAATCTGCTTCACCCCAGGGACTCTGGGATGGCAGCTGCTGCAAAGACATACAAGCTCTGAAAGATTGGGACGCTCCAAATGGACCAACAGGACACCCTCTTCTTAACGTCAACCATCAAGGTGCCCCCATGAACAGTGGGTGCAAACCCAAGAGTGTTTACCTTTGTCATGGGTAAAGTTAACCCCCATCTCCTGGACCTACACCAGTGCCAAGTGCAAAATGAGTGTGTGGTGGTTTGAAAGGAAATGCCTCCCAAAGGGAGTGGCACTATAAGGAGGTGTGGTCTTGTTCCAGGAAGATGCGTCATTGTTGGGATGGGCTTTGAGGTCCTTTTATGCTCAAGCCTCCCTCAGCATGACAGCCAGTCAACTTCCTGTTGCCTCTGAGTCAAGAGGTAGGACCTCTAACACCACATCTGCCTTCATGCGGCCATGCTCCCTGCCATGATGATAATGGACTGAACCTCTGAAATACTGCAAGTGAGCCCCCTCAATTAAATGTTTTCATTTACAGGAGTTGCCATTGTTATGACTAAAGCACGATTAATAAAAACTCAGCGAGAAAAATTGGGGTTCAACCTGAAGATCCAAAAAGCAAAACAGTCAGTCACTGGCTCTTACCTTGACCTCAGTTCAAAATGGTGATCCTGCTTTCAGGAATCTCAGAATGAGACTGTGTCTGAGAACTGTTTCCTCCCATTTTATAGCCCTCTCTAGTTCTGGGAGTAAAGGCCTGCACCACCAGGATTAAAACCCTGCACCACCCACTTTCTATGGCAAACTAATGTGGCTTCTGGAATTAAAGGTATGGGTTATCATTACCTGGTCTGTAAGGCTGATCAGTGGGGCTGTTTTCCTTGCAGATCCTTAGGCAAGCTTTATTTACTAAAATACAACTGAAATGTCCCTGTATATGGTGACTCTTCACAGCAAAAAAACCCCAAACTAAGACAGGATGCGATGCGTCAGACCCCCAGGTGAGTCTGCAAAGGTGTTCCCAAAGAGGCTGACTGAGGGGAAAAGACCCAATCTGATTGTGGGCAGCACCATTCCCTAGGCTCGGGTTCCAGATTCAGTAAAAAAGGGAAAGCAAACTGAGCGCCAGCACCTGTCTCTCTCTGCTTCCCAACCACAGATGCCATGTGACCAGCTGCCTCATGCCCCTGCCACCATGCCTTCCCCATCATGATGGACTTCCTAACCCAGGAATTAGAATAAGCCCCTTTGTACTTAAGTTGTTTTATTGAGTATTTTATCATAGCCACAAGAAAAGCAATTAAAGCCAGGTGTGGTGTCACCTGTCCTAGAGTCTAGTTCTCAAGGGGCGGAGACAGGTGGCTCTCTTTGTGTTCAAGGCCAACCTGGTCTAAAACAAACAAACAATAATTGATATTATTGGTTAAGAAAGGAGAGGTGCTGGCATCATGCTTACCAAGAAGTCATCTCTAAATCTCCAAATAACCCAATAGAAACTATCTTAAAGCAATACAAAATTGAAAATTTAGCTATTTGACTCATTTGTGAATAAATATTTTTTTTAAAAAAATCTCTGCTTCTCCTCTATAATAGCATACATAAGAGCAATGGCCAGTTAATGTCCACAATGAGAAAAAATAGAGCAGTTTGTTCAAAATAGCAATAGAGAGAAAGCATATTAGACCTAGAAATCACTGCAGTTAAAAAGTCAGTCTTTGTGGTAGGGAAAAAATATTAGGAGTTTCATTGAGAAAATATGAATGTGTGCAGAGAACATGATACATTATGGAGAGTCCCAACATCATAAATAGGTCAGTTCTCCTAAATATGTTAAATATTTGGCCCAATCCTAGAGGAAGTTCAAGCTGAGAAACAACAAAATACCACATAAAACATGTCAGGTCTTTCTTGGCACACAAGCAGAGGAGAATTGAAAAGAGAGTTTGGGATTGGAGGGGAGCAAGGATCCCGCTCCCGACCAACTACTAAAATACATGCAAAAAAAGGGGGGGGGATTCAGACAGTGCCCCGCAGGTACAAGGCTGTCCGTAGGGCTGACATCTGTAGACTGAAATAGTTAATACTGGTTGTCCCCATGATGAATCTGGAATCAAGTAAGGGACCTGTCTCAGGAAGGTCCTGTGAGGGTGTTTCCAGAAAAGATTAACCTGTGGCAAGACCTTGCCCCCAGAGTAGACGGCATCTGCCTGGGACAGCCCAGCTGTGAAGAGGTCTGAGGGCAGGACAGTGCTGCCCATTGGCCTTCACTCCTAGCCGGTGACTGCATCTGCCCTACTGCTGCTACAGTCCCCAATGCTAGCATCAGAACCCAGCTTTTCTGTGGCGGTCCCATTGCCAGACTAGGACTCCTGAGTGCTCTGTAGTCCTGAGCGCTACCAGGTTAGCCACAGGGCTAACTGAGCAGCTACTGGGTTCTCAGCCTCTCTAGTGTGCAGATAGCCATTGTTACAACACCCAGAGAGTGCCATGGGAAGCCAATGTGACAAATTCCCCTTTAGAATGTGTGTGCATGTGTGTGTTTGTGTAAAACGTAAACATATGTACATAGACACATATTGTATTGGTTCCGTTCCACTAGAGAGGTGAATAATGCATGTATACCACACAAGAGAACTCTCAAGAGAAGGCCGTGATTGTCCCCCACTCCCTATGTGGGGATGCCAACATCACCCTGTGGACCAGTCAAGTCACGGAGGCATACCCATGAACCCAGTCTAGGACTCACAGAACATGCCTCCCTGGAGCAACGTCTAGGTAAGGGGAGGCACAAACTTCAGGAAACTTCCAGATGGACAGGGGTCTCAACTCAGCTCTTGTCCCACCACAACCCACTCGATGATATCAGACATGGGCCTCAACACGGCGCTGGGAAGCAGGTGAGGGGGCGAACTGGAAATCCCAAGAGCACAGGCCAGGCAGCCCGGGAAGGCCCTAGCAGACACACTCAACTGGCGGACTCGGTTAGAGACACCGGTCCTGGCTTAGAGGGACCGTCCAGGGAGTCAGGGTAGATGGATCAAAGGCCATGTAGAAAACTGAGATGGAGCAGAGAGAGAAATACAAATAGTGAAGGCCCTGGCAGCTCCTGCTGTGACTGCCTGCTCACACCCGTGAGATTCACCAAGAAGAGGATGAACCAACAGGCACGCATGGGAGTCAGAGCAGAGTTGTAAGCCTCATCTCTGGACCAGGCTAGGCTACCGGCACTAACTGAATATCACTCTGTGTTCAGTGGCAGGGGGACTCATGATAGAGGCCATTGAGCCACAAAACTAGAGCTACTGACGCTGTGGTTCTTTCCAGAAACATCTATCAAAGTTGAAGAGAAAGGAGAAGACTTGTGGCTGCTCCCAGGCTTCCGCAAGCTATGCCACCAGAGAGAAACACATTCACCCAGACAGCTGGAGTTGCCACAGGGCAGCCAAATGCTTCAGCCACATCTTCAAAATGACCCAGCTATTCGCTAATCCTCCACGGAGCCGGATTAATGCAGGAAAGGGGGAGAATTTGAAATTTCTGATTAGCATCCCCAGAGAGACTCAAAAGAATATCGTGTCCATACAAAACAAACCAGCTGCGGTGTTTCAAGTGCAGGATT